GGCGGTGTTGCCGCGGATGCCTGTGATGAGGAGAATGCGGACGGCGAGACGCATGGGGTGAGGCGGTAGAGGGCGTCGTGGCCGACGGCGATGGTGGCAGTCCTGGCACAGGCGGCGGCGGCGGCACCCAGGTGTGCGCGAAGACGCCCGACGGCTCGCTGCAGACAAGCCCCGCCGAGCTCGCGGAGCTCGGCGCCTCGGCGCTCGCCGCGGGCGCTGGCGACCCGGTGCCGTTCGACGAGTTCATGGCCTCGGAGGCGTCGGCCCTCCCTCCACCCCCTGGAGAGGTTTCCCGCCACCCGCTCTCGTCCTCCCCCCGCCTCCTTCGAAGGTCGGAGTCTTCGTGCGTTTCTGGAGGGCGTCCCGCCTCTGGATGCATTCCAACAGTTGCGCCTCGCCGAGGGCGTTTCCAGGGCTGCCCGGATCGTCCCGAACGGCCGCCAGAGAGCCGGGATATGGCCCGGAGAAACCGGACTTCCCCTCGTCGTGGCAACAATCACGGCAGGCGGTTTTCGGCCGTTTTCGGCCTCGGGGGGCCTTCGCTAGGCATCAGGACCGTCAAGAAATAGGTTCGGGGGAAGGTGTCCAGACCTCCAGGGTTCAGGTTGTGAACGAAAAAACGCGTTGGAGTTCTGAGTCGCCGCGCGGTCCTTGTCGTCGTCGTCGTCGTCGCCGCCGCCGCCGCCGCCGCCGTCGCCGTGGGCGCCGACGCCGTCAGAGTCGTCGACTTTGTCGCTGGCGCCGTTGCCGCCGCCGTCGCCGCCGCCGTCGTCTTCGCCCTCTTCGGTGGTGTCGTTGTGGTGGTGGTAAGTATCGTGGGCCGTGCAAGGCCCCAGGGCCACCATCTTGAGGTACGCGTGGTATCAATCGTCGTTCTTCTCATCGCCGTCCTCCTACACCTGCTGACCCGCCTCATCCTCGTTTTCCTGCGTTTGTCTTTCCCACACCCTTGCGTTTCCCTGTGCTCCTCCTCTTCCTCCTCCTCCTCCTCCTCATCCTCCTCCCTCTCCTCATCCATCCTCCTAGTCCATGTGACGCTCTGGTACATTTCGGAGGGATCAAGGGATGATGATGATGATGATGCTGATGATGATGATGATGATTATGATGATGATGATGATGATGATGATGATGATGATGCTGCTGCTGCTGCTGCTGCTGATGATGATGTTCATGCTGATGCCGATGATGATGCTGATGATGATGATGATGCTGCTGCTGCTGATTATGGTGTTGATGATGATGACGACGGTGACGGGGATGGTGCTGATGATGATGATGCTTATGATATGATGGCGATGGTGATGACGACGATGATGATGATGCTGCTTCTGATGGTGCTGATGTTTATGACGATGGCGATGACATTGATGATGATGATGATGATGATGATAATGATGATGATGATGCGGATGATGATGGTGGTGATGATGATGATGATGATGACGATGATGATAAAGATGATGAGGATGAGGATGATGATGAGGATGGGGATGAGGATGATAAATACAATGATAATGAGGATGAGGATGAGGATGAGGATGAGGATGAGGATGATGATGATGATGATGATGATGATGATGATGATGATGATGATGATGATGCTGATGATGCTGATGATTATGGGTGTATTCAGTACGGGAAGCAGGCACTGCAGGGAGCTTCGCCGCATGGCCACTGCCACTTGTGCTCAAGCTCTGAGGCAGGGCCCCTCCCCCATTCCTTTTCATGCAAACCGCCCTCCGCCATATTGCCGGGCGATTCGCTGAGGGGGTCTCGACGGGCCTTGTCGTGTGGGCTTGGCGGCCTACCTGCCCGCACTGCGAGTGCTCGCCAGTGCTGCACTGTCCTCCTCTGACTTGCTCGACTGGAGACGTGGCCTACACTTCGCCGCTGACCCCGCTCGTGCTGACCCTCACGTGTGCCTGTGTGGCGGCGGTGGCCTTCTCAGCTGGTCGCTTGACGGGGGTGAGGGCTAGGACAGAGCAGAATCCCGAGGACTTGGACGCGACGGCCCGAGCTCAGGTGGCGCAGTATCGATCGAAGGCTTTGGCGCAATGATGCCGCCTGCAGCCGCAGGTGGCCACCCGCTCACTGGCTCTCACGACTTGCGGGTGGGCGACTTCTGCGTGGTGAGGTACAATGTCGGGGGCCCCTTTCTGTACCACGAGCGGCTGGTCACCTACCTGCCGCTCGGAGCTGGGCTGACCGTCTCGGTCACCACCCCCGACGGCGACGAATATGAGGAGGTATGGAGCATGCCAGATATCGTCGAGTGGGAGCCACTGCCGAATCGACAGCAAGGAGGCGTTCTACTGGGTCGGCCTGGAGCTCGATACTACCGCTTCAGAGTTGGCGCGATGCCGACCGTGGCGAGCCTCACGGCGGCGACCACGGCCGCGGCCGCCCGCCTCGGCCAGCCCGCGCCAGTGGGGCCCATGGCGCCAGCTCTCGGCGGGCGTCTTGCCGAGCCGCCAGCGGGAGGTGCCTTGCCAGGTGCGCCCGCAGCCGGAGGCGTTGGCGCACCGCCCGGCGCTGTGCCTGGCCCGCCGGCGGCGGGCCCCGCCGCCGCCCTCGGAGGCGTGGCCCCAGCGGCCGGGCTTGGTGGCCTGGTGGCGGCACTCGGCGGACCCGCAGCAGGAGCGCCCGCAGGAGTTCTTGTCCCCGCCGCTCCTCCGCCGGCTGGCCCTGCCGCAGCCTGCGCCGCGGCCGCCGTGGCTCCAGGGGTTGGGGCGGCGCCTGCCGGTGCTGCCGTCGGCGCCCCTGTGCCTGGCGCGGCAGACGCGGCGGCTGTCGCTGCACCTCCTCCCGTGGCCTTTGGGGGCGTCCCCGCCGCTGCGGCGCCCGCTGGTGGCCATGTTCAGGATGCACGGACGCTCCCTGTGGTCTACGACATGGTGGGCAACCGTCGGCGAGAGTTTCGTGACGCGGTGCTGGCATGCCGGGAGGACCAGTGGGAAGGGTGGCCGGTGCGCGGCCCCCGCGCTACCCACTGGGTCCTCCGGTACATCGTTGACCACGGCGGAACTCCGACTGGGATGCACTCCCGATGGCGGAGCGAAGCTCGTCTCCAAGAGCACGAGCCAGGAGTGCAGGAGCATGAACGGGCCTGCCGGGCGCTGGAGGAGCTGCTCTGTTTCGACCAGTGCAACGGGGCCAACTTGGCGGCCGCTGAGCTGCTGGCGCGCACCACCCAGGTGCAGCAGGAGCGCTACCGGGACAGGAGCGCTGGCGGCACGGCCAGCGTCAGCCACGACAACGTGGACGCCCACCTCTTCATGGGCAGCGAGCTCACCAGGGGAGGCGTGTGCGCGTGCCCTCTCCTCCAGGAGTGGGCCAGCCTTCAGCTGGCTAAGGAGCAGGCGCTGCTGAAGGAGCGCCGCAAGGCGCGCGAGGAGAGGGAGCTTGCAAAGAAGGGCAACAAGAAGAAGAACAACAGGGAGGAAGAGGGGTGATGTTCCCCTCGGTCGCGCTTGGTTCAGGCGGCCAGCGCGACCCCCTGCCTGAGACGCCTGTGGACCGTGGTGCCTCTACCGGTCCGATCAAGAGAGAGGTTTTTGATGCGCTGGGACATAGTGTTCGCCAACGTGATGTTTTTCCGCTGCCCCCTCTGTGCCGAGACCATGCCGGCGCGGCGGGCCGCCAGGACCTGTCGAGGGTCACTCGGCGGCGTGGCGCGGCCTCCAAGCACATCCTTGACTGGGGCGACGAGTGTATCAACGTCCTGAATGACTTGTATGGCCACCAGGACCGGCCAGCGGTCCCCGCCAACGCCGCCCAGCGGCATGCAGTGGACCACGTCGAGTCTCAAGTACGTGCGCTTGGCAAGCCCCCACCCGAGGCAGGTTTTCGCGAGGGAGCCCTACGTGAGCTCCTCGCGGGGACGAGGATCTACCAGACGGGTGATCTCTCTTCCCGACGGCCGTATGTCAAGGAATCCATATCCTGGCCCTCGCCCGACCTGCAGCCAGTTCCACTGACCGCCTGCCTGGGTGAGGCCGAATCTGAGTGGCTGGGCCGCTGGCAGAGCACCTTGCTCAGGCCAGATAAACCTACAGCTGCTGAACGTATTGAGTTCTGCCCTCACGGACCTTTTTTCGACCCCAGTCTCTTCAGTAAGCCTCTGCTCTACGCCGATTTTGTCGCCAAGTTGCTGGCTCGCGGCATGGTGGAGCTGAAGAGGGGCTGCGACGCAGCCACCGTCGGCTGCTTCTTCGTCGCGAAGAAGAACAAGAAGCTGAGAGTGATACTTGACACGAGGTATGCCAACCTATTTTTTGGTCGACCAGCTCGGACTTCGCCGCCGACTGCGACGGCCCTCGCTGCTTTCGAGAACCCTAGGCACGACACTTACCTGGCCTCGGGTGATATCGACAACGCATTCTACAGACTACGATTGCCAGACGGGCTGTCTTCGTACTTCAGACTGCCCGCCTTGGATGCCAGCCTGCTCGGGATCACGCATCTGGACGGGGTCGTGCTCGCGCGAGGGGCGCGGGTGCAGCCCTGCGTGTGCGTCTTGCCGATGGGCTGGAGCCATGCGCTGGCCCTCTGTCAGGGCGTGCTCCGACGCGCCATGGCCACCGCGGGGTTCACCGTGGACCAGTGCGTCGAGGGCGGGAAGGCGGGGGTCGTGGTCGACCGGGAAGGCGCCGTGGCGGTCGCCGGCTACGTCGACAACTACGCCGCCCTGGGACGCTCCCCGGCCCTCGTCAACCAGGCCGCCCTTGCCATCGCACGCGTGCTGACGGAGGAGGGGCTTCTCACTCACGATGAGGAGCCTGCCGCGCGGGACGCCACTTTCGTAGGGCTAGAACTGAAGAGAGGGCGACATCTCTCGATCAAGGCCAGGAGCATTTGGAGACTTCGCTTCGGGTTGGACGCTTTGCTCAGGAGAGGTTTTTGTTCTGGAGACGCACTCAGGGTCATCATAGGACACTTCACTTGGGCAGGTTTGATACGTCGAGAAGTCCTCTCTTTGCTCAACGCCAGTTACCAGTTTGCCGAGCGTATCGGGTCTCGGCAGGCGCGTCTTTGGAGATCAGTGCGACGCGAGCTCTGGCAAGCACGCTGTATCTTACCGCTGCTCAGCGTTGACGTCAGCGCAGGGTGGTGGCCCGAGGTAGCCGCCTCTGATGCGTCGCTGTTCGGTCTCGGTGTCACTGTCCGAAAAGCTCCTATCTCACTGGTTTCTTCGATCGGCCGATGCAGCAAGAGGTGGCGCTTCCGGGTTGAGGGTGCCCAGCGGGCTCGCGAGCATGCTCTCCATCAGGCAGCTGGGGACTCCGCTGGTAGCCCCGACAAGGCCCTCGAGAACCTGCTGGTCGACAACCCCGTGGCCTTCGACGAGGTCCCCTTGGGCTTCCTGAAGTCTGACACTTGGAAGGTTGTTCACGCTTCAAAGGTCGCTGGGTCCACCGACATCCTAGAGCTGGAGGGGGAGGCGCTCCTTATGGCTATTCGACATACGCTCAGGAGCACTGGGGCTCTCGGGAAGAAGATCCCGTTTATAGTGGACAACCTACCACTGGCCCTAGCGGCCACCAAGGGGCGGGCGAACTCTCGATATCTGCGGCACGTACTTCAGAAGATGGCCGCTCTATCATTGACCACAGGATGTAAGATAGTTGTGCGTTGGGTACCATCTGAACTCAATCCTGCAGACCATCCGTCTCGAGGCGATCACGGTTTCTTCACTACTCCATACCACGTACATCTTTTTCGGCCCCATGGGGCCGCGCCGGCGGCCAGCTGGGGCGCAGGCCACGGTCGAGCGGGCAAAGAACGCCCAGCTCGTGGTGGCCTCGACGGTGCAGACCTTCGGCTTCTCGTTCCTCGAGTCCGCGGCGATCCGCCCGAACGCGCAGAGGCAGTACCGCGACCGCCTGGCGACGCTGGTCCTCTTCTGCCGGATGTACCGCCTGGGCTGGGACAGTTGGGAGTCGCTGGACAACGCCGTCACCGCGCTGCTGAACCGCCAGTTCTTGGACGGCAAGCGCTCGGACCTGGGGGCGCAGCTGATCGCGGCGCTCTCGCGCGTCTTCCCGGGCCTGGCGCGGCGCAGCGGGCTGTACCTGCCGCGCGCGTGCCGAGCGGCCAGCGCCTGGAAGCGACGGGCACCTGGGCGTTCGAGGCTGCCCATGCCCAAGACCGGGGCGGCGGCGATCGCGGGGGTGATGCTGTACCTCGGCCGTCGCCGGATGGCCATTTACACCATGCTGACCTTCATTTGCTATCTCAGGCTGCTGGAAGGGATCGCACTGCTGGGGAGGCACCTGGTCGCCCCGGTGTCGGCGGCAGGAGCGAGCTACGCGAGTTGGGGGCTGCAACTCCACGACTTCGAGCTCGGCCAGCCCTCCAGGACCGGCACGTCGGACGACGCGGTGCTCATCGACCAGGACAGCTGGGTCCTCCCTGTGCTGGCGGGGCTCCAGGCGGCCACGCACGCGGACGCCTCGCTGTGGGACTTCGACGCGACGGAGTTCAGGGTGACCTTCAAGGCCGCTGCGGAGCTGCTGGGGTTGGGGCAGCTCGTTCCGCACCCTACTCGCTTCGCCACGGCGGAGCGTCAGACGACCTCCTGACCGGCCGCCGAAGCCTAGAGCAGGTACGAGCTCGAGGCCGATGGGTGCCGTCGTCAAGCCTTCGTCGGTACACCAAGGCCACTCGCTTACTTCGCGAGCTGCACGAGGTACACAGCGACGTCTTCAGCTTCGGGAACTTCGTGATGACCCAGTTCACAGCGCTCGTGGAGCTCGGGCTGACTGGCCCGCTTTTCGACCAGGTCCCAGCGAGTGTCAGGGCCCTCTTGCTCTCGGGCCCGAACGCCGGGGCCGCGTCCGTCGGCGGCCGCGCACGATGGCGGCCGGCAACGTGACCCACCTGGTCGACGGCGGGGACGTCGGCGCGTACCTGGGCAAGAGGCTCGTGGCGAGGTTGGGCCGGGCCGTACGCCTCAGGTCGCTGCTGTTCCTGGAGCTCTTCGGAGGCTGTGGCCGCGTCGCGGCCAGCGCGCAAGCCATGGGCTATGCCGCGCTGAGCCTGGACATCAATGCCTCACCTTTGGAGAATCACTTGACGCCAGCCTTCCTCAACAGGATCCTAGGCTGGATCGCCGGCGGGGTCATCGCAGGCGTGTGGCTCGGCACACCGTGCAGTACTTGGACCCGCGCGCTGCGAGCCCCGTTGCGAACTGAGCAGCACCCTGACGGTCGGCCCGACCTCTCGCCTGAGCAGTGTAGTAAGCTTGACATTGGGAATAGGTCTTTCCTTTTTTCCCTTCATGTAACCCGTGCGTGTTTGAGATACGGGATTGGTGTTATGATTGAGAATCCGCAAACCAGCCTCATGTGGTCCTCCCCTCGTTTTCAGAAGCTTCTGAACTTGAGGAGCAGCACTTCTGTCGTGTGTCACATGTGTCAGTTTGGCGCACCCTGGAGAAAAGCCACCAGGGTGCAATCTTGGGGCATCGGAGAGCTGTGGGAAATTTCTAAGAAATGTAGTGGCCCTCGCGGCCTGTGCAGCAGAACCCTCCGGCCCCACCTCGAGCTCAGCGGGCGCGCGCCTGGCGGGAAGCACTGGACAGCTATTGCTGCTGCCTGCCCGGCAGCCTTCGCCCGTGCCGCCGCCGCCATCCTCGTTCGCACGTGTGAAAATAAACGCTCCCTGGCTCTCTCTCGCAGAATGGGGGTGAAGCCCTGAATGTTTTTTCGGCCTTCGGCCAAGTCCGCGTTCGGGTTCGGGATGCGAGGCTCGTCTATCTGTCCAGTGTCTCGCCCTGAAGCCGCGAGTTCGCCGCCGTGCACTGCTCCTCGCAAAGAACATCATCTCTCTTGGCGACGTGGGTCGGAAGAGGCCCTGCTGGGTGTATTCAGTACGGGAAGCAGGCACTGCAGGGAGCTTCGCCGCATGGCCACTGCCACTTGTGCTCAAGCTCTCCCTCCCCCCCTTTTTTCTTCCCCTTCGAGCTCGAGAGTGGCTTTTTCTGGCAGGATGCGAGGCTCGTCTATCTGTCCAGTGTCTCGCCCTGAAGCCGCGAGTTCGCCGCCGTGCACTGCTCCTCGCAAAGAACATCATCTCTCTTGGCGACGTGGGTCGGAAGAGGCCCTGCTGATGATGATGGTGGTGATGATGATGATGCGGACGATGATGACGATGATGATGAGGATGAGGATGAGGATGAAGATGAGGATGCTGATGAGGATGAGGATACTGCTGCTGCTGATGACGATGATGATGATGCTGATGATAATAATAATATGATAATAATGATGGTGAAGACGAGGAGGAGGAGGAGGAGGAGGAGGAGGAGGAGGACGAGGACGAGGAGGAGGAGGAGGAGGAGCAGCAGGAGGAGGAGCAGGAGGAAGCAGCGGCAGGCTTACCGCAACATGGTTCTGGCCTACATCGACAAAGGCAGGAACTCTGCCGTGTTCCTCGAGGCGTCCCCCCTTCCCCTCCCCCGTCCTGTCCCCCTTTCCTCTCTGAGGCTGAGGAGGAACACTCGTAGAATCTCTGGGGGGGAGGAGCGAGGTAACTCGTAGAATCGAGGTGCGACCGTTCTCCTGCCAAACGTCCGAAGCGGCGGCGGCGCCGCCGCCGCCGACGTCATCGTCGTCGTCGTCGTCGTCGTCGTCGTCGTCGTCGTCGTCGTCGCGGCGGCGGCCCCGCCGCTGACGTCACCTTTTTCGCGGAACAGCCTTCGGCGCAATCCTCCACCCGCCGGACCGCTGTCGCCCCAAGCCCGCGCTCCGCCTCCAAGCCGTGGCCGAGGGCCTCCGCGTCCGCGCCCCGCCTGGGGCCCAGCATCTGCGGGGCAGGCGGCGATGATGAGATAGATCATGGTGAGGAGCATGGTGAGGGGGATGAGGATGATGATGGTAATGATGACGATGCTGCTGCTGCCGACGAGGATGAGGATGACGGTGGTGATGATGATGATGATGATGATGCTGATGCTGATGCTGATGCTGATGCTGATGCTGATGCTGCTGATGATGCTGATGATGGTGCTGATGATGATGATGATGATGCTGCTGATTATGATGCTGCTGATGATGCTGATAATGATGATGCTGATTGTGGTGCTGATGTTGCTGATGGTGATGATGATGTTGATGATGATGATGATGATGGTTATGGTGATGATGATGGTGATCCTGATGATGATGTAACGGTAACTTTGATGATGCTGATTCTGCTGATTATGAGGATGGTGGTGACGATGCCGATGATGATGATGATGATGATGTTGATGATGATGGTGATGGCGACGATGTTGGTTCTGATGATGACGATGGTGATGATGATGATGATGATGATGATGATGATGATGATGATGATGATGATGATGATGGTGGTGGTGGTGGTGGTTGTGGTGGTCGTAGGCTGTGGTGGGCTGGTGGTGGTGGTGGTGGCTGGTGGTGATGATGATGGTGATGATGAGGAGGAGGAGGAGGGGGATGATGATGATGATGATGATGATGATGATGATGATGATGATGATGCTGAGGAAGATGAGGATGAGGATGCTGCAGGTGCTGCTGCTGATGATGATGATGGTGGTGATGATGATGATGATGCTTATGATGATGCTGCTGATGATGATGATGATGATGCTGATGCTGATGCTGATGCTGATGCTGCTGATGATGATTATGCTGCTGATGATGATTTTGCTGAGGAGGAGGATGAGGAAGAGGAGGAGGAGGTTGAGGATTGTGCTGCTGCTGCTGCGATGGTGATGCGGATGCTGATGATGATGCTGCCGACGATGATGCTGGTGTCGATGCTGATACTGCTGATTATGATGATGAGGATTCTGATGATGCTGATGAGGATGATGACTATGATGATGCTGTTGAGGATGATGATGTTGATGATCATGATGATGATAATGATGATGATGATGATGATGATGATGATGATGATGATGATGATGATGATGATGGTGATGATGATGCTGATGATGATGCTGCTGCTGCTGATGATGGTGATGATGATGGTGATGGTGATGGCGATGATGCTGATGATGCTGATGATGCTGATGATGCTGATGATGCTGATGATGATGATGCTGCTGGTGATGATGCTGATGATGATGAGGGGGAGGAGGAAGAGTAGGATGATAATGCCGAGGAGGAGGAGCAGGAGGAGGAGGGGGAGAAGGAGGAGGAGGAGAAGGAGGAGGAGGAGGAGGAGGAGCATGAGGATGATGATGATGATGATGATGATGATGATGATGATGATGATGATGATGAGGAGGAGGAGGAGGAGGAGGAGGAGGAGGAGGAGGAGCAGGAGGAGGACCATTGTAAACCCAAGGCTCATCAACGATTTTGGAATAAACCATCCCTGCAAGCTCCCTCTGCATAGGTCCCTACACGGGTTCCTGTCCACTGAGGGAACTGCCTCGCTGGGAGAGAACCGTTTGAAGACCTTGGAAGCACGCAAAAGCACCATTCTCGGGACTCCAGCGCCACGGATCAACCTGACTGTTGCGTCTTGACGATCCTGAACCGTGCCCGCACCCTTCCTGGGACTTCAGCACCGCGAATCAACGTAACTGTTGCGCCCTCGCAATCCTAAACCCGTTCAAGACACCATTACTGATTCGCTGACCATGGGAATCCGCGAAACCCTTGCATTTGTTTCAGGTGAATGTTTGCGGCGCTCAGGCGAGAGCCACTTTTGAAAACGAGCCGCCCTCAATTCGTGAAACCCTTGTTTTCTGTTAAGTCGAATGTGCGTAGCGCTAAGGCGAGAGCCACATTCTGAAAACCACCCGCCCTCCATGTATCAGACTGCTACAGTTGTTTAAGACGAATGTGCGCGGCGCTAATGCGAACACCACATTCTGAAAATGCCCCGCCCTCAATCCGTGTGCGCAGCGCTACGGCGAGAACCACATTCTGAAAACCACCCGCCCTGAATGTGTGAAACTGTTGCCAACGTTTGAACTTCAGGGTCGGGCGGAACGCCGGGCCCGCCCTTTCGACTTGCCTTGGGGTGCGACAGGGAAAAGGTGCGTATAAGGGAAAAGAACGGAGGAGGAGGGGGAAAAGGAGGAGGAGGAGGAGGAGGAGGAGTGGAAGGGGGATGGGGGAGAAGGGAGTGAGGGAGGTTCGGAAGGAAGGGGAGCAGTGAGGAGGGATAACGGACGGAGTGGGGACGGGAGAGGAGGAGGAGGAGGAGGAGGAGGAGGAGGAGGAAAAGGAGGAGATGCTGGAGATGCTGCCTCAGAGAAGGTCGAAGCGTTGCTGCTCCTTCCCGCGGGTTAAATTACTCGTAATTTAGCAGTGCCGACGGGGTGGGGCCCTCTGCGAGCGGAGGCCTACCTTCCCGTCCGTCCTCCTCCCAAAGTCCTTGGTATAACTACCGACAACAGGCAAAGGAGGTCCGCTGGCCCCCCCCCCCAGCGGGGGGAATGGGCCACTTCATCCCCGCTTTTGGGGTGAGGCCTTTACGGAGACGTCTCAACATCGTGCTACCCGACGGCGTGCAGACACTGGGGCATTCGTCGGCTAGTTTACACAACCGACCTCTGCCCCCCACGACGGTCGCACATCGGGCGCATCTCCAACACCACGCCAAGCCGTGCTGCATGGCGATCGAGTGCGAGGGGTGCACCGATTCGTCGCCGACAAAGGGCCCGAACCAAGGTGGGGGGGGCGTAAACGTGGTGGCCACGCTCGCTGGGGCCCCTAGAAAACTCATCCCCACGGCAATGGCTAACCTGCAACCAATCTACGAGGGACAACGCCCTGGGGTCAGACGGCACTTCGTGCAGGACCACTGGCCGTATCGCAAGCGACACAAACTGTAGCCCGATCGGGCCCCCAGCTCTTGGACCCTCGTGAGTCCCGGGTTCGACCCAAGCGGGACCCCGAACTCACCGCCCGCGGCCAGAACGGTCCCATTCACTGCAGGTCTGGGCCACAATCGTCCCGATTCTCTGGTGCACTAGAGTGGCTCTAGCGCCTACGATGTTCAAGGCTTTGGTAAGCCCACGGATGGGGTCGGTGGCGGCCTCCGCTCCTCGCATTGGCCAGCGCGTCCGCCATCCCATTACTTCGAGAGGTGTCAACTGGCTGTCCCGTCCTCAAGTGGGAATCTGCATCCAAGTGAGAAAAAACACATTGCTTGACCTGAACTCTGCCCTCCCCGTGGTTTCGAGGGCTCGGCGGATTCGGTCCCACCAGCGCGCTAGAGGCCACTGGGGGCTCTTCCCGAGGCCCTGGGTCCAACCGTCGAAGGCCAGCTGGCAGTCCGTCCACAGGAGAATGGGCCCCGTGGTGACCTGGAGCGCCCAAAACATGGCCGCCAACTCGCTGGCTGGCACAGTCTGGTCCACGTCGATGGTTCCATGCAGCCCTCGGAGAGCCCCTTGCTCCACGTCCAGCTCCGCCTCGCCCTCGCCACGAAAGTAGACCCCCATCCGACCCGACAGACGGGCATCGCCGGACGTGGCCGAGCCGTCAAGGAAGCCTGCTCGGGCCTTCAGGGCGTAGGCCTCGGAAGGGAGGAGGCCGGAGGAGGTGCCCAGGTCGGGCGGAGGAAGACCCACACAGTCCAGACGTCGAGGCCGACACCGGAGTTCCACTCAGGAGGCGGGGGCACGGGGTTCCGCTCCTGTGGGAGCATCCCCCTGGTCCAAAAACCGACCTTCCTGCCTGCTGGCAAATCTTTTCTGCGCCGCCTCGCGTATGCTTGTCTGTGCGGGCTACCCGCTCGTGCTCGATCGGGGCGTCCTGGGCGCACTCGTACAGGCGGTGGGCTATGGTGTCCTTCCCCACCGCGCACCGAGGGCAATCGTCGTCGATCTGATATCCAGATGCCTTGGCGTGGGCCCCGGACCATATACAAGCCAACACATTGGCCTCCAGCGCGTCAGCTTCTGGTAGTCGGCCCTGTCGTCGGAGTTTCCTCAAGTTCGTCCGCAGCATGTGCGTGTCGCCGCCGTCGCCCAGACCTGCACCAGTCGGGTGTCCACCAGCGTGCTTCCGCAATTCGCGTCGAATTGGGGCCCGTAGTGCATGTGGAACTTCCGTGTAGCTCTCTGTAGGAGCTCCAGCGTGTTGCCATTCATCACCTTTGCCATCTACCCAAAGATCTGGAGCGCGCGGTACCCATCCGAGGTCTCTGAGCGTCAAAATCAGGGCCCCCATTGGTCCAGCCGCCCATCTCCATCGGGATCTCGCCTTCAAGTGGATGAGCCTTCTGAGTACTGCTCGCCATCCTCGTCGTACACGTTCGTGAAGCTCAGGATGATTGGTCCAGAACTGGAACCAGTGCTTCACCTGATCCGTCACCGTGCTCATCTTGGGATCGTCGTCCTGGTAGTGCAACAGCATGGCCGACGCCGTGCACCTCCCTCCTGTCGCGCGGCCAGCAAGGTCTGCTGCCGGAGCCCGCCGTCGAACAACTTTTGATGGGGAAATGCCCAGGACTGGGTCGGCGTAGCAGAACTTCGCCCGAATGTTGTAGTTGTGCACCATGATCCCCTTCGCACGCTTGCCACCCCGACCAATACGTCGGAGAACAGCAGTTCGAATTGCTCGCACTTGAGCCACTGTCATGCGTTTCTTCGTCGTCTTACTGGTCCTCATCATGCCCATGGCGCAGTCCTCCGAGGTCCTTGGCCCACTTCGTTTCCTTGATCTGGATGCCCGTGGTGTCTAGAACGTGCTGCTGGACAATCGCCTCATGCTCAGGGGTCGTCGTCATCAAGAGGGACTTTGGCGAGACTCGCAATCCCATGTCCAGCATTCCCGTCACCAAAGCTACTGTCACCTGCTTGGTCTGCTCCAGCACCAACAAGCTGGGGCGCTCTACCCTCGCGTGGACATCGTCAAACTATCGGCGGACGCGCGCGATGGGGGCCTTCGCGCTGGCCTGCTCCAGGGGGCGGCCGCAACGAGGCCGTCCCGCATCCAGGCACGATGGAGCAATTGGGGACCATGGCCTCGGCAACGGCACCCCGGGCATTGACCACCCTGGGCGCCAGGTAGGCGAGGCGGCACAGATAGAGCTCCACTTTCTGGAAGTCTAAGTCCATGGCCTGGCGGATCATCAGCTCTAGATCCATGAAGTCGTGGAACCTCTTGACGTCGACCAGGAAGTTGCTCCGCTCGTTGATGCCCACGTGCGCTCTGGACTCGTCCAGCATGGTGAGCAGGGCCGCCTGGAGCGCATTGCTGCCCTGAACCGCGGCGTCCCAGCGCGCTGCTCTCGCGTCGACTCTGCCATAGTGGTCTTCGTCATGCGGCCCCAGATGTGAACAGGCATGGGCAGCAAACCGATGTCGCGCTCGTTCCCTACCTCCTGCTTGGTGCCCTTCGGCAGGAGGGCGAACCGATTGTGCTGGAGTTGGTGAGGCCAGGCCAGACTGCGCTCGATCAGGTTCAAGAGCGTGACGAAAGCCTCCTGCCCCTGGTCCGACAGCGCCAAGAGGTGGGTCGGCTTCCACTGGTCGGGGCCCTTGCCCGTGGTCTTGGGGAAAGATCGCAGAGCTGAGACGAGAGCGTCGCGGTCGTGGTAGGGCCGCTGCGCTAGCTCCTCGCGGGCATGGCGACGCAGCTCACCGAGGGCTGCGCGGACCGCTGGCAACCGATGTGGCTGCGAAGTCCACCGTTGTGCCCAGCGGGCCGCTTTGGTCTCAGTGGCCCTGTGCACCGCGTCACGCACCTCCAGCCCAGCAGCGTCCCTGCAGGTCTCGTCCAGGGCCTGCTGCTCCAGCTTCTTGAGGTAGCGGTGGGCACCCTTCATGGAGCCCTCGGTGCTGTCGATGGCCCAATTGCCGATCTCGCTGCGAGTCTGCTGCCGCGCCGGGCCGACGCGTCGCTGGGCGCGGGCTTGGACTCTCATTGCACACCGCTGCCAGAGTTGGAACTCAGTGCTGTACTAAATGCGGATGCCCGCAGGGATAAGCGGATCATCATCACGAAAAACGTGCCACTTACCGTTCAGATCGCCTTCGTGTCCAGGTTCAACAGGTCCCTCACTGTCGTGTAAAGGCTTAAGTTCCGAAAGAAGAGTGGATATCGTGATCTGTACCTGTCTCTGATAACGTGAGTGTCGGAATCGACAAAGTGCATGCAACTGCTCTTGTACTCTGGCGTGTAGGCTGGCCCAGTGACTACACGAAGCGTTGGCCGCCGAGTGGCCGAAAATGGAAGAAGTGCCCTGGTGCGTGGCCTTCTGTCGCTGGTAGCGAACCGTGAACCCACGATGCGCGGCAGGTCGGGGCTCTGGTCCACAAATCGCTGCCAGCTGCTCCTCTGCCGCCACTGACCACGCTGCGTACTGCTGCGCCATGTCGTCGCTCATGTGCGGGTCGTGCTGGAAGGCGAGGCTCTCGGTGACCACCCACTGGCCCTTAACGCCCGTGGTGTCGACGTAGCGCGGCGCCTCCTCCGCGCAGTCGAGCCAGCTGCCGTCGGCGCACCTCTGTGGTCGGAGCTGCGTGTAGTGGTCGCCCATCAAGTGCTCATCTTCATCATTGGGTGTACTGCCCTGCTGGAGGGTGTCCTGCTCCCCTCTGGCCTCGTGCAACTCCTGGTACCTCTGGCGATCGCGCTGGCTGCGTTTGACGCCCATGGCGGTGCGGTGCCCTGCCAGAGGAATCTCGAGGGAGACGGGAAGCCGCTGCCTTCGCACGAACACCGAAGCTTGTCTGGAAGTCAGCCTGATGTTTAGGCCGATGTGCGGGCCCCGCGGGAGATTGTGCACTGGGAGCACGCGGTCCAGGAACGGGCGGAAGCTGTCGGGCACGATCACGCAGTGGATCATTCGGCCTTTGCCCGACGCGCAGGAGACCTCGACTCCCTCTGGCGTGATAGCGGTACCGCCCAGGGCCTTCAACCAGCCCGACTTCATCATCTCCTGCGGGGTGGCGTTGAAGTCACCGACCAACAGCCAAGGAATACCCAACGTCCTGACTATGCGGAGAGTCGCATTCATCTCCTTGGAACTTGTGCCCGCCAAACCGATTGAACAGTCCAAGTAGCACACGATGGAAGCAAAGGTAGCCCCATGGAAGCGCCATGGGACCACTGAGATATCGCGGAGCGCGTCGTGGTGGACGCTCTTTCCCTTGGGGCCCTCCAGGTGGATGCTGGTGGCGTAGGTGGCCCGTCGCGGCCAGCACGCACCCCCGCGCGTGCCTTTGTCCGAGCGTCCCGTAGCCGATGCAGCAGTCCATGTCCCTTCAGACCTCCAACCAAAATTGCGTAGGCGCTTGTCCTCCATCTGGCACATCATTTGCGGCGAGTGATGCTCAGCCAACCCCATGAGGTCGTAGGGCGCCGACTCGATCAACTTCTTGACCTCGTTGCCATAGCTAGTCGCATTCCCGAAAAAGACGTAGACGTAACTGCGCTGGCTGAAATGAGCACGTACTCGTGGATGCCCGTGTTCTAGGTTACTTTCCTGACGTCTTCGACCTCGCAGATGCTGCCCCCGTCGACGTAGGAGGTGCCCCTGCCGTTGGTGTGACTGTTGAAGGCGCCGACCCCGAAGCGGGAGTGGCCTTGGCTGAGTCCGCTGCCGCTGCCCTGGCCAGGATGGCCGCCGTGCGCTGGATGTAGGCGTCGACGTTCTTGGGGTCGCTGAAGTCGATGGCGCCGCCTCCTGGGGCAGCTCCTTCGCCTCCATCGGCGCCTGCAGCAGGTGCTGGGTCTGGTGCTCCAGCTGCAACCCCTGCGTCACTGTCGGCCTTGCGCCTCTTAGCTGTGGCGGCCTTCTCGCGGAGCTCCCTGAGCGTGCTGGCCGCATTCTGCGCCTTCTGACCGATGTCCGCCGCGGTCTTGTACGCCTGCTGCGCCTGCTGCGCGTGGGCCAGTGCCTCCACGTAGGCCGCCTTCTGCTCTGGGGTGAGGAGCTCCACGTCCTCGGTGCTGAGCTCGGGGAAGTTGAAGGCTTGGTCGCTAGCGGGCTTGGCCTCCTCGGGCGCGCTGCCGCCGCTGGCTGCCCCCCATCGCCGCCGAGGTGAGGCTGGTGAGGCGGTTGACCTCAGCCTGTGCCTCAGCGCAGGCTCGAACGTTCTCCTCCGGCCTCTCCAAGAGATATGTCCCGTGCTTGGCGTTGGCCACCAGCTGGTTCTTGAGCTTCTCCTGGTAGCTGTGGAGGCGTCGGAGCGTGGCAGCATGCTGCTCCAGCGAGATCTCGGGCGCCTTGGGCGGTGGAGGCTTGGCAGCCTCGGCCAGCTCGGGACAAACCAACTCCATGGCCTTGACTGCGTCCAGTTGCTCGTCCGCGAGCGCCTGCTTGTACTTCGGGAGTACTTGCTCGAGGAGGCTGGAGCTGGTGTCAGCTCCGTCCTCGATGGCGAGAGACACCTCCTTCTTGGCAGACTGCTTGGGCCACGGGACTCGGCAAGTGCGGCAATATCCCCATCCTGAAGTGCCAGCGCGACTGCAGTGCGCCCAAGACCCAGGACAAGAACGGCACACAAAGTGCGCTTGCCGACGCTCGCCGTGCGCAGATGGGGGCCTGGAGCCAT